AATATGAAAATCATCATGACAATTTTCCAAGAATTGATTTTGAAATTTTTGTTTATATTGGTGAACTTGATGATGAAGGAATGTGGAAGACCATGCAATATCCCCATAATTATTGAAATTAGTGGAATAAGAAGAGAAGCAAATCATGCCTCATTAAGAAGCCACTAAAGTTGTTAATTTGGGGACGAAGAAACTAAAAAGGAATTAAGATTGGTACTTCGATGTCATCACCAATAAAGCAAGAGTTGATAAAGTTACTACATGAATATGTAGATATATTTGCTTGTCATATCAAGATATGCCAGGGCTGGATACTAAAATTATAGTGCATAAGCTACTATTGAAGCCTGAGTGTAAACCAATTAAATAGAAGCTGTGAAAGATGAAACTTGAAATGTTGTTGAAAATAAAGGAAGAAGTGAAAAAGCAATTTGATACAGGATCTTAGAAGTGGCCAAATATCCTGAATGGGTGGTGAATATGGTCCCAGTACCCAAGAAAGATGGCAAAGTAAGAATGTGTGTTAATTATCTGGATTTGAATAGAGCAAGTCCAAAAGATAATTTTCCATTGCCTCATATTGACACTCTAGTGGACAATACCGCTAGGCATTCTTTATTTTCATTCATGGATGGATTTTTAGGCTATAATCAAATTAAGATGGCATAAAAAGATAAGGAAAAGGTTACTTTTGTAACAGTATGGGGAATATTTACTATAAAGTCATGCCCTTAGTATTTAAAAAAGCTGGGGTAATTTATCAAAAAGCCATGGTAACTCTATTCCATGATATGATGCACAAAGAAATAGAGGTGTATATGGATGACATGACTGTCAAATCCCGTGAACAAGAAAATCATGTGACTAATCTCAAAAAGTTATTTAAGAGATTAAGAAAGTTTTAGCTCAAGCTCAATCCAACTAAATGCACTTTTTGGTGCAACCTCAAAAAAATTGCTAGGATTTATTATTAGTAAAAAAGAAATAAAGGTGGATCCAGATAAGATACGTGCCATCCAAGAGCTACCACCTCCACACACACAAAAGAAGTAAGGGGATTTTTTGGGAGATTGAATTATATTGCTTATTTCATTTCCCAACTTACAGCTAAATGTGATCCCATATTTAAGATTCTTTGAAAACACGAGTCAGGAGAATGGGATGAAGATTGTCAAATGGCGTTTGAAAAAGTTAAAGAATACTTATCAAACCCACTAGTATTAATGCCATCTGTCCCTAGAAGACCTCTTATCCTATATTTAATGGTGCATGAAAAATCAATGGGATGTGTTTTGGGGCAACATGATGAAACAGGAAGGAAAGAACAAGCCATTATTACCTGGGCAAAAGGTTACTGATTACGAGTCAAAGTATTCAACATTGAAAAAGATGTGTTGTGCATTAGCTTGAATAGCTCATCGACTCAGACAATACATGTTGTATCATACTACTTGGCTCATTGCAAAATTAGACCCAATCAAGTACATCTTTGAAAAACCTTCATTGTCGGGAAGAATAGCAAGATGGCAAGTGTTACTTTATGAATATGACATTGTATATGTGTCCCAAAAGGTAATCAAAAGACGTGCTATTACTAAATTTCTTACAAAACATGCTCCTAAAGATTATGTGCCTATGACATTTGATTTTCCAATGAAGACTTATTGTCTATACTGTACATAGATAAAGAAGAGCAAAATGAAGATATATGGAAGATTTATTTTGATGGTGCATCAAATGCTTTGAGGCATGGTATTGAGTAGTTTTGATATCTCTAGAAGGGGATTACTACCCAATCACTGCAAAACTAAATTCTGATTGCACTAATAATGTTACAAAATATGAAGCATGTCTTCTAGGTCTTCAAGTTGCTTTTGAAAGAAAGGCCCATGCTTTAAAAGTTTATGGAGACTCTGCCTTAGTCATATACCAATTCAGAGGAGAATGAGAAACCAGAGACTCAAAATTGACTTTATACCAAAAGTATGTATCAGAATTGATCAAAAAATTTGAGAATATTTGGTTTCATCATTTACCTTGAGAAGAGAATCAGATGGTTGATGCATTGGCTACATTGGTAGCAATTTCAAATTAAATGAAAATGTTGAAATCTAACCTATCAAATTGAGCTTATGAGATAAACCAGCTTACTGTTCAAATGTTAAGGAAGGAGTTGATGGAAAACCATGGTATTTTGACATATTACAATATGTTAAATATCAATAGTACCCAGAGCAAATATAAGAGAATGATAAGAAAATGTTGAGAAGGTTGGCAATGAGTTTCTTTTTGGATGGAGAAATTTTATATAAGAGACCAAACACTATTAAGATGTGTGAATGCTACTAAACCGAAAAAGTTATTAGAAGAAATTCGTAGAGGTGTTTGTGGAACTGATGCAAACGGTCATATGATGACTAAACAAATAATAAGAGCAAAATACTATTGGTTGACAATGGAAAAAGATTGCATTGAGCATGCTAGAAAATGCCACAAATGTCAAATTTATGCAGACAAGATTTAAGTTCCTCCAATGTCCTTGCATGTTATGTCAACACCTTAGCCTTTCTCTATGTGAGGAATGGATATGATTAGGCCCATTACACCAAAAGCCTCAAATGGACATTGATTCATTTTAGTGGTAATTGATTACTTCACAAAGTGGGTAGAAGTAGCTTCATATGCCAATGTGACAAGAATGTTAGTCTGCAAATTCATCAAGAAAGAGATCATGTGTCGTATGGCCTTCCAGAAAGGGTCATTTCGAATAATGCTCTTAATTTGAATAATAAAAAGATGATTGAGGTTTGCACTCAGTTTAAAATCAAACACCATAAATCAGCACCTTATCATCTAAAGATGAATGGGGCAGTTGAAGCAGCAAATAAAAACATATAAAGAGAATTATTGAAACGATGATAGATGTGTATAAAGATTGGCATGAAAAGCTACCATTTTCATTACATGCTTATCAAACTTTGATGCACACATCTATGGGAGCTACACCGTTTTCATTGGTATATGGGATGGAGGCAGTGTTACCCATCGAAGTTGAAATTCTTTTTTTGCGCATTCTCATGGAGGTTGAGTTAGAAGAATCTAAGTGGGTTTATGTTTGATATGAACAATTGAATCTCATTGAAGAAAAGAGATTAGTTGCACTTTACCATGGCCAACTGTATCAAAGAAGAATGATGCGAGCTCATGACAAGAAAGTTCACCCATGACAATTTTAAGAGGGAAATTAGTATTGAAGAAGATCTTTCTTAACCAATAGGATCCTTGAGGAAAATGGACTCTTAATTAGGAAGGCCCATATATGGTGAAAAAAGCTTTTTTTGATGGGGCACTGATCTTGGCAAGAATGGATAAAGATGATTTGTCAAATCCAGTCAATGCTGATGTAGTAAAAAAGTATTATGCTTAAAAAAATAAAAAAAGCAAAATGAATTTAAAAGATATCTGAGTTGAAAACATGAAAGGGCAGCTTAGATAAAAATAAAAGGGGATAGTGAATGGAGTGGCTCAATTCTCAATATGTGCCAAAGATCTCAATGGTTTTGGACTAGTTTAGTTTGCTACATTTTTAAAAAGTCAAAGGCACCAATTAAAAGTCTTCAGAAAATAATCCATGATGAATTAGTTCATGATGATCTGAATATTTGTTATGTGATTAATTGTTGTCCTTATTTTATCCTTTTTTATAACGCATGAAACACTTCTCCATTTTACCAAAATAAAATACCACTTTGTTTATCCTTTCTTTTGTCCCTCTCATTAAAAAGAGAAATGTGCAATGTGTTATAATTGTTTGAAATTCAAAAGGTGATGAAGAATAACAATGACCATAAAAGACACACACATTATTTTGAAAGGAGATTTAAAATGATAAGCAAAATAGTAGGGAACAAAGGTTAATGAGAAAAGTGTCCTATAGGTCATAAAGTGGTTGACATGAAATATGGGATATGAAGAGAAATCTTTTTTTATCTGAGCTTCATCAACAGTTGGAATGCTTAGGATTCAAGAGAAGAAGAAAAGAAACAAACTTTAAGAAATTTTGAGGATTAAAAGAAAATGACAACAAAAAAAAAAAAGAGAAAGAAAATGGTCTTTTCATTTGCAAAATAAGTGGATTTGCATCATAATCATCATTTATTGCATGGCATTGCAAAAAATGAAAATGTCATTCATGCATTCATGTGACACGACAGATGTATGGGTCTAGGACAATCCAAGACCAACAAAAGAAAAAGTCAAAAGTAGGAAAGATGTGAACCCTTTGCTTAGAGAAAATTTTCAAATACTATGCCTCTCAGATTTTTAATTTAAAGTTTGTTGCCTTTGGTTAAAGGAGCTTTAGAATTTAAAGTTTATTGCCTTTGGTTAAAGGAGCTTTTGAATTTAAAGTTTGTTGCCTCTGATGAGAGGAGCCTTTTAACATTTAAAGTTTGTTGCCTTTGGTTAAAGGAGCTTTTTGAATTTAAAGTTTGTTGCCTTTGGTTAAATGAGCTTTTGGATTTAAAGTTTGTTGCCTTTGGTAATAGAGCTTTTTAATTTAAAGTTTGTTGCCTCTGGTGAGAAGAGCTTTTTGAATTTAAAGTTTTATAGCCTCTGTTTAGAAGAGCCTTTCAAATTTTCTTTCAAAAAAAAAAACTTTATGTTGAACGTTTCATTTTTGTATGTATTTATCTAAACAAAATTGGTGTCTTTTTGTCTTTGCTTTATTCCTAATTCTCAGAAATAAGCAAAGAGGGGCAGCTGTAGGCACCAATTTTATTCTTTTTTTATTATTATTATATAATTTTGTTCTTTATTATTATTATTATTATTATTATTATTATTAATCTTTAAAACAAAAGGAACAAAATAGTAAAAAAAAAAGTCTTTGATTTCAACTCTGGCAGTCGAAATCAAGCTACCAGAGTGGTCCAAATTTCTTCTTGACACTGCCTAACATGGCAGCATGAAATCCGGTGACCAAAAGTCATTGGATAGACACCCAAAATTTCCACAAAAGGATCCCAGAAGATCTAGGATCTTGAATCTCAAAAACTCTTTAAATAAAGCTAATCTCTGCAAAGAACTGACAAAAAAAAAAGAAGAACAATAAGAGGGAACACATACAATAAAAAAAAAGATAGCAAACACAAAAAAAAAATTTTGAGAATGAAATTCTCGATCCAAGAAGTTGTAGATTTTTTTTGAAAAATATGGGCTTCGAAAGGTGTTTAGAAAGCAAAAAGGATCATTGGGGGAATTTTTGAAAAATTTTTTAGGTCATCGAAAATTGGAAAAGTTTGAATTTTTCGATGACCGTTAAATTTTCAGCCACTGAAATTTATGAATCTTTGAAATTTTTGGCACTATTAAAGTTTTCGGCCATCGGTGCACAGCGGAAACCGACAGGAAACTGGGGTCCATGATAGTCGGCATAGGGGTTGGGTTTTCTAGAAAGAGGAGCTCTTGGTAGAGAGAGAAAGGGGAAGGGAGAAAAAAGTAGAAAAAGGCCTTTCATAGGCCATTCAAAATAATGTCGTTTTAGACGTCTGGACAGAACTCGACGCACGCAGGATCCGCGTGCCATCCCGACTTATTTCGTAGGTTTTTCCTTTTCTTTTTATTTTCCATTTTGATTTTTATGTTGATTTTTTATGTTAATTTTTATGTTTTTTAATTATTATTGTTATTTTATATTATTACTGGTAAAATTTTTTAAAAAACAAATAAATAAATAGAATAAAAAATGAAACTGAAATAAAATAAAAGACCTAAAAAAATATAAATAAAAAATTTAATAATACTAACTACTTAAAGGAAATAAATTTTATTACAAGCAAAAATATTATTTAAATTTCGCCAAAGTGTTGGGATTTCAAAAATAATTTTTGCTAAAAAATAAATAAAAATTGATAAATAAAAAAATAAAATTATTTAAATGAATCTTTTAAATATAATTTTTAGGGAAAGCTAAAAGAGTTTAGTTTTCTTTAATTATTGCAAGTAAAAGTAATTTTTCAAATTTCACCATAGAGTTTGGATAATCCAAAATTATTTTTACTAAAATAAAGATTGATTTAAACAATGTAAAATAATAATAAAAAATGAAATTAATAATAATTGATATTTTGAATATTTAAAAATATAGAAAATCGAAAGAGTTCGATTTTCTTCAATACAAACAAGAGATTAATATTTAGATTTTACCAGTGAGTTGGGATAATCTAAATTTTTCTTATAAAAAATAATTAGGGAATAAATAATACAAAATTTTAAAATAACCATAATATTTAGATTTGACCGAAGAGTCAGGATAATCTTAAACTTTGTTCAAAATTTTGGGAACTCACCAAAGAGTCGGGATGTTCTTAAAATCCTTTTTAAATAAATAATTAAAATATCTTATGATGAAGATTCGAGAATTTTGTGAATGGTCAATTTTCTCAAAATATTTTGTAAGTAGTGATTTTCTATAAATTCCACCAAAGCGTTGGAGAATTTATTGAATATGAAATAATAATAATAATGTTAATTTCGAAAAAAAAAAACTTGTTTTAAAATAAATTTTAGGAAATTAAACTTAAATAAAAAAGACCCCGTTATCAAAATTATAGGATTACGTATGTTTAAATGATACCATTCTTCGAACAGGCGATGTGAGGGTACTAATACCTTTCTCACATGTAACCGTACTCCTAGACCTAGTCCTAATTTCGCATACCTAAATTTCTTTTAGTAAGTTTTAATTAATTTTAAAATTTTTTTACTAAAAGATGATATTTTTGCTGGCCAATCATACCCTATAAAAAGATTGGTGGTGGATCCGAAAATTTTCATCAAGTTTAGCGATTGAGTCCCCACAGATGAAAAATCATTATGATAGTCCCTATTAATCATTACTCCAATCCCAAAGGCCAACAAAATAGGATGAAATCCTATGATGTTATC